CTTGTTGCTCTGTTGAAGTCTTTCAAGCAGGTGGTATAAACTCTCGAATCTCTGTGGTGTTTTTGGCACTACATTACCAATCACACCGGTCTTTTTAAGGTGTTATTGCAGAGAAATGACAGCTTTACCAGAAGTCGGGGAAGAAGTGACTCGTATAGATTGGATATAGGGTGCTTTTCGCGTATGGGACTCTAATTTTCGATTTATAATCACCTCTGGTCTTGAAGAATATGTGGCTTTTTGATAAAGAAATTGGGTGTTTCCTCGAAACTCGAGTACACGGTACAACTGCAACATGATCGCATGCACAGCGGTATAGGCGGTTCTGAAATGAAAGTACAAAAGTAAGGAAGTTGATCAGGATCTTGAGGCTGAGAGCTGAATAAACGCTCTTCCACATTTGCTTAATGAATCCTGAGTTGCCTTATCCCTTCGACTAACACCTTCATAAATGTATTTGACGATTTGATCTCGCTTACGAACAAATAATAACTTTTGAATTTCCCAGTTTGTCTCTTTCATTCGACTTTTCTTTTCAAAAATGTGTTTGAAATCTGTTTGGCGATTAGTCTACATGTGGTATAAAGTTGGAAGGTATTTCACCACTCGGTTCTTTCAAGTAAGACGCACAAAGCTGTACCTTCAGCTTAGGTAGCATGACTTTCAAATACTTAAACGGGTATTGGATAAAGGACTGGGTTTGCTTTATTAAAACGTAAGGATTGCGTACACTGAACAGCAGCAGAAATACTTCTGTGGCGAGAGTTCCACTACAGCGGGACAAATCTTTAAAATCTCAGAAAAGGATGACGTGGTGGAAGTCAAAACTCGCTGTATCTCGCCTTGAGACATTGAAGCGATGTAGTCAATTCACAACGGTGTCCTTTTCGACTCTTTCGTCCTCAACATCATCGCCTTTGTTTCCGCTGGTATCATCCAGAGTTACGTCTGTCACAGTCACCATTAGGACATTTCATTCCCTGAAATAAGTTAGACATCTCGAAGTAGAGGCGATTCCTCTCTGGAAAGTGTAGTTTTTCTTCTCCTTGTTTCCAATCTACCCGAGTCACTTCGCCCCCAAGTTTTTCAATTCCATCTCCCTGCAGTAGCGTCTCTAAAGTACCAATGTGTTTAGTAAAGTAGAGTCATAAAACCCTGAGGAAATCAAAAGCTTATATTATATGCATGAATAACTTCAACAAAGCTACAGG